TGCGCCCTTTCCTGGATCTCACTTGGTAGTCCAGGCTGTCCTCGAACTCACAGAGATCCACCTGGCTCTGCCTCCCAAGTGCTGGGATTAAAGGCATGCACCACCACTGCCCAGCCTTTTTTCTTTGGTTTTTAATAGCCTGTTTGGCTCATCATAAAAGTAACATACATCCATCGGAGACGATTTGAAAACTTTAAAGCATTATTAAAATTACCTTAGGCCAACTACCAGAATGTGTATGTATATATGTATGTATGCATGTATGTATATATGTACATGTATATGTAGGTGCATGTATGTATGTTTATATAGGTGTGTGTGTTTGTGTGTTATATATAAACGTATGTGTGTCCCATGCTGGTTGCGGGACATCTCAGAGCACACTCGTCATGAACGCCGAGGGTCCACTGTTCTTTACACATCTCTTTCTATCACACAGAACCGTGGGGGGGAGGGGGCGGAGGTCATAAATCTTCCGTGCTTCTTGCCGTCAAGAGCAGCGTCGGGGCTCCAAACTAAGTAAACACAGCTGCCTCGCAGTGAAGGTATTTAGATAATTTCTCTATTTATTTTGTTCGTTCACGTCCTGTGCAAGAACAGGACTTAGTACCGAATAAATGTTGAATGAACGGATGAATTTTATGAACTGCGGCACTGAAATAATTTCTACAGACCCAAAAGAAAGTGCCACCAATATAAGAGAAAATGTCGAAATTACACTGTGTGACACTGAGATCGGGAGAACACATTCGATTTCTGAACTGCTTTATACCGGTAGAGGGGCTGTAGAGGAGGCAGCCTAGCTCAGCAGCGACACCATGTGGTGAGAGCGTGGATTCCCGTGAGCAGGGCACTTCACAGGAAGCAGGAAACTGGACTCTGCACAAACCCTAACCTACATCAGGCAGCGGTCCAAAAGATGGGAAATGCCAAGGTCCTCTTCCTGTGACTTAATCCAGGTGGGGCCGGTGAGATCTCGGTAGAGATGCAGGAAGGAAAACAAAACACAGCTCAACCCCATCCACAGCCCCTCTGGTCTCTATGTCGAGCCAACTGCACAGAGGTGAGTTGTTTTAAAATGTCTCAGCCTCAGCATTGGGATGAAGAATCTTCTGGCTGCCCCAGAAAGGTCGTCTAATTCTGTTTCTATTTTCAAATGCATTTTCCTTATAATTGTTTGGAGAACTTTTGATCCAAGAAAACATAATACTTGATCAATACTGGGAAAGAAAACCCTGACCTCTGACCTCAACCTCTATAGCATATTCAGGGCACTCCAGAGTGCTGAGAAGCATCAAGCAACGGAATCGCACCACAATCACGCGTGTGTTCGCTTAACATACAACAGAACTCAGCCAGAACCCAGCAGCTGGGAGGCAGAATCGGTCCAGAGAGCTGACACCAAGTCCGTCAGGAAGACCAGACCGGGGACAGAATGAGAGGGGAGCGCTTCTGAACACTATTCTTTCCAAGACTGTATGCAATCAGGTCCTCACTGGGGAGAGGTCTTGTGTGCTGTATACAGAGCAAATATTGGCTTTTGCTCTTTTCAAGCATTTCATCCCCGTGGTTTCTGAGTGGGTAAATTAATGTTTCTCCAGTCAATTACCAAAGAGGGAAACATACACCACTCCCACTGCCACTGGCTGCCGTGGGACATTTTAAAGAGCCAAATTCACTGGGTGTGTATGCAATGTGTGAACGAGCACATGCATGTGTGTGCGCACGTGTAGAGGCCAGAGGTTGACATCAGAAGTCCTCTTCATTTGTTGGCCACTTTATTTACTAAGGCAGGGTCTCTTGCTGAGCCTGGAGCTGGACAATTTGGCCTGTCTCCCAGTCAGCCTGCCCGGGAGGTCCTGTCTCCACTCCCCACAGGCTGCAATCACCGGCTGGGCTGCTATACCTGCCCAGCTTTTTATTCGGGCTGGGGGTGCCAACTCTGGACCACCTAGTGCTTGTGTATCAAGAGTTCGTCCAGGCTGGAGAGATGGCTCAGCAGTTACGAGCACTGGCTGCTCTTCCAGAGAACCTGGGTTCGACCCACAGTCAGGACTTGAAATCCACTCGACGCTGCCCCTCTGACCCCGGGCTAGGAGCCTCCAACACTCACACTCGATTTCATCTCCAGCTACAACCCTCGATGTTCTGGAAGGGAAGTACAGAAACGGCCTAGGAGGCTCAGTCGCACTCCACTAAAGGCAGAATAACCCCGGCCCGCGCGGCCCTGGCCACCTCCTCCACCGTGTGTGTCCTGGGGGCCAGAAGCTCCGAGGACTGGCCTTACTGGTGTTTTTATGCCGTAAGTCAGCGATGAGTTTTGCCCGGTGAACAGAAGAGAAAACAGTGAAAGGAGCTGGTGTGGGACGTCCTAAGATGAAGGCACAGACGGAAGTCACGTGAGTAACGCCCAGGCAGGCACATCAGAAACAGTGCAAACTGTAGAGCTTGGCTTGGTGGCACCTATCTGTGATGCCAGCACTCAGGATGCTGAGGCAGGGGGATCACAGCAAGTTTAAGGGTGGCCTCTGTTGCGTAGTGTGTTCCAGGCCAGTGTGGGATAGCGAAAACTTGTCCGAAATCAATAAATAAACTAGCTAGAAATTAGGTAATGAAAATGTAATAAAAGAATTTTTTTTAATGAGAAAGACCATCCTGTGTTGACGTTAATTTCTTAATTAAAAGCACTACCCTCAGTCTTCTTAGAGGAGGCACCGGGAACTTGTTAAGCACACCTGTTTTCCAGCCCGTTCAACCTCTCGACAACCCCGTCACCACTGCGTTATCATTTAAACTGTGCGGCTTCTCGCGACTCTCCCAAATACTTCCTCCTCCACCCTCACACAATCTTCAGGCTCCGCATCTGTTCCTGTGAGCCGGTATGCAGCCGCCACACCAGGTACAACTCTGCTCTCCTCCACAAACTAAGCCTGCCCGGGGACAGAGGCCACCGTGAGAGACGGCCCCTCCCCGCCTCACAGTGGAACAGGTGGGTTTGGGGCATGGAGCCCCTGACCACACAGCGCTCCTGTGTGTTGACATCACTAATGCCACAGACTGGCCTGTTGGTGGCTGACAACAGGAAGAGCCCCACAAAACCATGTGTCACAGAGAATAAGAAACTGACAGCGTGTCACCATGAAGGGATTAGTAAGAACACACACCTGGAGAACCTGGCAGCCTGCCCCAAACCCGGTGTCCTTCATGGCCCAGCAGTGAGTGCAGGCATGAGGCCGACTCCCAAACACATTCCCAACATTGCCATTTTACTTTCAGATGTGAATGACAGACACGAGACGCAAAGCCTTCTTGCCACAAGACAGCGGACATGGGCACACAGCACACAGAGGCTGTGATCTCCCCGCTCCAAGGCTTGCTGAGAAAACCCCCTGATCAGAGCAACTGCTTTTGCTCCCGGCCGACTGCAGATTCCGAAACGGTTACCCATCAGCAGGCCCGGGGGGCTGATTCCTGCGCTCCCTCCCACAGACACCAAACGCCAGAGTCTCCGTCACACAGAGCGGCACCGCATCTGCCGGTGGCCTGTGCGCATCCTCCAGAAGACTTGAACCACCGAAGACGTTGCCAACGCTGTCAACAGTTGTTACACTGCACTGCGTATTGTTCAGGGAACGTCAGGAAAAAGTCTGCAGGCGGGCAGGACCGGTGTTAGCTGTATACGTGTGTGTGATGTGTTTGTGCGGCTGTGTGTGTGTACGTGTGTGCTGTATGTGTATGAGGTGCCATGTATGAATATGTCTGTGTGTGTTCATACAAGAAAGGGTGAGCACGCGCCACGGCACACGTGGAAGTCAGAGGACAGCCTTGGGTATTCCTCTTCAGCCCTCCCACCCACCGTGCTGGAGACAGGGGCTCTCCCATTTATCCCCATGCAGGCCAGGCTCGCTGGCCTAGGAGCTTCGGGAGTCCCCCCCGCCCCCACCTCTGCTCACGGCACACAGGAGCACACCACCCACCCAGCTGCACACAGGCTCTTCGGAACTCCAACTCAGGTCCTCACCCTTGCTCTTTACGCAGTGAGCCATCTCCCGGCCCAGCACGGGATCGTGACGTTTCTTTCAAATATCGAATCTACAGTTGGCTGCGTCCACAGACACAGAAGCACCGGTGTGGAGCAGCATCTACACTTTCGACAGGTAAGACAGAGGAGCTCCGTGTAGTAGGACATTATCTTAGATGTGTTACTTTTGTTTATGTTGCATTTGTTTAACTCTGTGAAGCTGTGTTAACAGTGCCTGTCTAAAATACCTGATTGGTCTAATAAAGAGCTGAACAGCCAATAGCAAGGTAGGAGAAAGGATAGGCAGGGCTGGCAGGAAGAGAGAATAAATAGGAGGAGGAAACTGGGAAGAGAGATCAAAGAGGTAGCCAGAGAAGGAGGAGGACTCCAGGGGCCAGCCACCCAGCTACACAGCAGGCCATGGGTAAGAGTAAGATACAGAAGTAAGAGAACGGGAAAAGCCCAGAGGCGAAAGGTAGATGGGATAAGTTAAGGGAAGCTGGCTAGAAACAAGCCAAGCTAAAGCCAGGCATTCATAATTAAGAAAAAGCCTCTGTGATTTTAATTGGGAACTGGGTGGCGGGCCCCCCAAAAGAGCAAAAATAAACAATAATAGCTCCACTTCCCTATAAAAGGACCACAAACCAGACTTCACACCTCCTAACTCCACAGTCACTTCTACTTGCCTTACACACACACACACACACACACACACTATCCATCCAAATGAATACTATTAAAGATACTGACATACTATTATTATGGTTTCCAAACCCAAAGTCAAAATAGAAATCAAGGCAGAAAATGGTCTGGACATTAAGGAGTCACGGTTTGGAGGTGAGGCCACCGGAAGCACGAGAGTCCCCACTGAGCCCACACTCACCTCGGTGGCCAGCAGCAAGTACAGCGGTGTTAGGGTGGGAACCTGCCGGACATCACAGCTTAGGCCAAGGGTGGTCAGGATCTCCTTGAGGACTTCATGCCTTCTCATGTTGCTGGACTTCAGCACGTTAAAGTCTTCCTGGGTTTGCACCACGGAAGCGCTTGGAGGGAGCTCCAGGTACACCTGAGGAAAAGACAACCACAGGTAAACTGTGGACACCCGCGTCAGGGAAGCGGCTTCCGCACCAGGTCTGATGAAAATCTGAACACAACTCTTCTCCCAGCGGCTCTGAGCCCGACCACCCGGAGGGGGACACCAAGAAACGAGAATACGAGGATTAGAGTGAGCCTCTTAAAATCATGGCTTCCCGGCTCAAAAGTCATGGTGGAACCCACCCCTGGGTGGTCACAGATTCTTTCCAGGACCTGACTTTCGTCCTCAATCAACCGCAGGTCCTTGGGAAAATCACTCCACCTGGACTAAGACATTTGGAAACATAATTATGCTGAGAATCCAACCGATCACGTCACCGAACCTAGGGAGGCACGGTGGGTCAGGCTGGAAACTTCCCCTCTGCCTTGCAGTCAGCAGAGGAGAGAAGCACATTCTTCATGCCGAGACTGTTTTCAGGACTCTGGGGGATAGAGTGGACTTCCCAGACAACAGAGAGGCCTTCCTGACGCCCCCTGCACCTGACTGGATTCTAAAACTGAGCTCTTCCTACATGCAGTCCAGGTGTTAAAGTGTGATTTAAGATATTTAGGATGCACCCTGGAAGCCACACGAAGGTTATAAATACACAAACATCTCCAACAGCATCCCTGGCAGGATGAAGGACCACACTGGAACTTCTAGCTCCCGTGAGAGCGGATTTTAACTGCGTGTCGGAGTCTACAGGTGCCGGAACATTCGGCAATAGCGAGGCACCCCATGCCCAGTTTTATTTTGATTTTCCAACCGGAACACTGCAAGGCTACAACAGCTTGGTGCCACCACTCAATCCTCACCGAAGCTGTGACCAGAGCAAACACATTGTCCAAAACGGGGCAAATGCTCAACTCTGGGGCCAATCTGAACAGCTGGAGGACAGTTGACCACAGGTGGCCCGTCCCCCAGACACAGGGACAGAGAAGAAAGGGGTGCCCTGTGAGGGTCCAATCCTAGTCAATGGCCCGCTTCACCCCTCGGAGCACATGGCTGCCCTCTGGGCTAACCTATCCAGGTGGCACCAATAAAACGAGCACCAGTTACGTCCCTCCAGGAGCTCAAGGGAGCGAGCGAAGAGCAAGGCTGAGTGCACGCAGTCGCACTGGATGGTAAGGACACGGGGAACTAGTGAGGGAAGTGTGCAAGCTGGTTTGCACACGAGGAGGGTGCACAGGGGAAGGGCTTCTATCAAGCTGCAACAGGCCCCCAGGCCCAAGGAGGCCGCCGCCGTTAAAGCTGGGGAAATGCTTCACTCGCTGGGCTGTGGAAGCAGCTCAGAGGGCAATGCTTGCTTGGCATGCACGAGACCCTGGGTGCTGCCCTTTCAACTGAGGAGAGGCCGAACAGCACACCTGACGCTGTCTGTGGACGTGGACCTGCAGCCCTGACACAAACACAGCCACTGGCTGGCAACGTTGACCTGTCCACACCCTTGACCCTTCTAAGCCAAGGCTTCTCAACTGGACCGAGAGCCTTACGTAAAAATGTCTCTGGCGACAAATGCAGAGACGGGTGGCTGGCGTCCAGTGGCCAGAGACCAGGAAGGCTGCTAAATGCCTGTCGTCCACACGGACCACACCTCACCACAAAGACTGGCCTGGCCCAAAACGTTCATGGGGCCGCAGCGGAGAAACTCTGCTATGAAGCGTCTTCCCTCGGCTAAGCCGGATAAGCAAATGAGATCTCTGCAAATCCAATTTCAAGCGGTATTTGGGCAACTTCGTGCCAACACCTGGATCCACTGGATAATCGAGTGTGCGCCTTAACTCTCGGTTTAACATCTCCCCAGCACGGTGGGTGTGCGCACCACCAGCCCCTCTCCTCGTTAAGGGGAGTGCAAAGGGAGGCAAGCAGCTCAGTGGGCTGGGACGGCCCCACCCGGTGGGCAGCTGTGCGCTGCCCTTGGCCTTCTCTTCCAGGGTCACACATCATTACTAGATTTACTGCAGAGAGGGAGGCCATGACACGGAGCAGAGGACGAGGAGACTGCGCTGCGGCTGGTGATGGCAGTCACTGGTTGGCTCCAGTGAGGCAGGACAGCGGCGGGGCTGGAGGAGGAAACGGTGACCCTGCCACACAGGAGACTGGAAGTCATTTAGAACCCAAAGCGACATTCTAATCCCCTGGCTCTGATTTGTGAACCTGCATCATATTGCCCTTTTTTTTTTTTTCCTTCCTATGGTAACACACTACAGTATCGAATTTTATGATAGTATTGGGGTCGATTTAAACGGCGCAGCAGACAGATGTGCTGTGAACTCAGAGAAATGGGTTGCGACGTGCCGAATCAATTTTCTAGGGCAAGTCTGTGTACAGAAAAAAACCTCTTCAAAACTGAAATAAGGCTCCAGGAAGTGGGGTTTTCAAGCGGATTTTTTGAGAATGCGTGGTTACTATAGTGACCATATTCGCAGAGGGGAAGAGAAGAGGAGCATTTAACTAAGCCATGTGGTCCGCAGTCTCACAGGAAACCTGCTGACTCTGTGTGAACGTCTGGACCAGTGCATTTTGAGCACTTCTGCCTGAGCATCAGCTTAACAAACAATGGGCTCCAGCACAAAGAAAGGAGAGCTGGGGAGCTGGGGCGCGTGCTGGCCATGTACGTGTCAAGACCTGCGTTTGGAACCCACATAAAGCCGGAGTCAGCCTCTCTGATCCCCACTCCTATAGAGAGACAGAGATGGGACCCTCCCTGGAAGCCTGTGGCCCAGACAGGATGGCATACACAGGAAGGAACAACAGAATCTGTCACACAAGGTAGAAAGCAAGGACCATGTCCACTGGTCACCACACAAGAACCATGACATGTGCATACCACAGAGAGAGAGACAGAGGCAGAGGCACACAGAGATTTGTTACGTCAGTATGAATATTTGTGGGCCTGTATTTGTGCACACAGTGCCCATGGAGACCAGAAGACAAGGCTAATCTCCCGGAACTGGAGTTACAGACAGTTGTGAGCTGCCATGCGGGCGCTGGGAATTGAACCTGGGACCTGTGGAAGAGCAGCCAGTGTTCTTAACCACTGAGCCATCTCTCCAGCCCTAAGTAGTCGGGTTTTAAATGTTAACAAGTCATAAGGAAAGATCAGAGACTGTGAAGATCTGTCCACAAAGCATGCACATGACCAAGAGCATCATTTAACGTGACAGGTGCCGGTCTGGAGTCCCTCCTACCCTCTGGACCTCCCGAATTAAACAAGAACTTGATGGCATTAACCAGGATGTGCTTTGAGGCAAGAAATAAATCTTATTTAGGAAGACAGCTACCAATAATGATTACAATGAGGAAGAACTTTCTGGCTCGTCCTTGGTTAACCTGAAGGTTTGGCTACCCTTGCCGCCTGCCTTAGTTCCTCAATCACATGCAATTTGGTTGATCGGGGTATTCACCAGAGCCCTCCGCTAAGCCTGCCTCACACCAGAAACTTCCACACACAGCAGAAACTCAGCCAAGAGCACAACTAACCACTGGCATTGAATTCGTGTGTGCGTGCATGAGTGTGTGTGTCTGTGGGGGGGTATATGGAGTGTGTGTGTGTGTGTGTATGGTGTGGGGTGTGTGGGGTGTGTGTGTGGGATGTGGGGATATGTGTATGTGTGTGTGGTATGTGTGTGTGGTGTGTGTGAGTGGTATGTGTGTGTGGTATGTGTGGTGTGTGTGTGGTGTGTGTGTGTAGTGTGTGCGTGGTGTGTATGTGGTGTGTGGTATGTGTGGTGTGTGTGTGGTGTGTGTGTAGTGTGTGTGTGGTGTGTATGTTGTGTGTGTAGTGTGTATGTGGTGTGTGTGTGGTGTGTGTGGTTAGTGTGTATGTGGTGTGTGTGGTGTGTATGTGGTGTGTGTGTGGTATGTATGTGGTGTGTGTGGTGTGTGTGTGGTTAGTGTGTATGTGGTGTGTATGTGGTGTGTATGTGGTGTGTATGTGGTGTGTGTGTGGTGTGTGTGTGGTGTGTATGTGGTGTGTGTGTAGTGTGTATGTGGTGTGTGTGGTGTGTGTGTGATGTGGTGTGTATGTGGTGTGTATGTGGTGTGTGTGTGGTGTGTATGTGGTGTGTGTGTGGTGTGTATGTGGTGTGTGTGTAGTGTGTATGTGGTGTGTGTGGAGTGTGTATGTGGTGTGTGTGGTGTGTGTGTGGTGTGTGTGATGTGGTGTGTGTGTGGTGTGTATGTGGTGTGTGTGTAGTGTGTATGTGGTGTGTGTGGTGTGTAGTGTGTATGTGGTGTGTGTGTGGTGTGTAGTATGTATGTGGTGTGTGTAGTGTGT